GCAGCCCATCCATGCATGCTGCAGTCGGTATAGGCTGCAACATTTCATTCTAGCAGGCTGCAGCATTCCATTCGCGCATGATGCAGCCCAACCATGCATACTGCGGTCGGTACATGCTGCAGTATATATCAACCACCCCTTCTACCTACGTGCCTGCGTGGCTCTGCCATCCAGTAACGCCCTGCAATGTTGCCCACCCGTGGCGCCCTGTTGGCCCCTTTCCCAAACGGCCCATTTCTCTCGTGCCACAGCTGCACTCATACTCGTTCACTGATTTGCTGTCTTGCGTGTCTTGGCTGGACCCATTTTTCAGGTGGCTGTGGAAAGTGCTCCTGCGCGCTGGATGTTCTTGCCTCACGGTTTGAAGAGCATACCAACCAGTGTTTTTGCAGCTCGGCCTGCTAGGCTCATTATTCGGCGCATACCTCTTTACTTTTGATCTCCACATTGGCGTGAAACCTTTTGCGAGTAGAGGTGACTGATTGGTTCGTCCACACCACAAACAATAGTATGCAGCTTTAACAAATACAAGGGTATTTATTAGTGTTCTGCTTATGATATGGCACAACCTAGAATGACTGCATGGAAAAAACTATTTCATCAGGTAGTTTCTGATTTTGTAGGAACTCGTCGACTGCATCCTGTGTGCAACACTCGTATCCCACGCCTGTCTCGTCGCGGTATGACCCAATAACCAGATGAATGAGCCAGGGCAGTTTCACACGAGCAAATGGGTGATCACCTAGCAGCGCCGAGGTTTCCTGGTTGGCATGCTGACCCGATGTTCCGGCACCTCTTTTGCTCACTTTTCGGGGCCCACCACGACCGCCCTACCCCTTGCGACAGCCCTGCCCCTCCCGGCAGCCCTGTCCCCCCCGACAGCCCTCCCCTCCCCGACAGCCCTGACCCATCCACTTGCCCTCCCAACCCCTTCACATTCTGTGCCCTGCACCCCTATGATGCCCTCACTCTCCTCGTCACCTTCCGCCCCCACCCTAAACACGGGCTGCACTTTCCGCTTGCGTGCACTCCGGGGCACAAACATCCTCCATGCGGTCTACCATACGGATATGGGGGGGGGGGGGGGGAGTGGGGGCATGGAACATCACTGGTTTAGTACGGTGGCGTAGGGTGACTGCATGCATACCATACAGGACGCCGCCCACGGGCGTGTCCCTAACCTCGGTGTGCCTTAGGGCCTGCGTCTCTATCACCGTCCGCCTCCTCCCTCTCTTACCATCAGCCGGCTCCCTCTCTCTCCATCGGCCTGCTCCCTCTCTCACCACCAGCCTATTCTCTCTCTCACCATCGGCCTACTCCCTCTCTCACCACCAACTTGCTCCCTTCTCTCTCACCCTAATACTGCTCCATCTCTCACCATTGGCCTTCTCCCTCTCTCACCATCAGCCTGCTCCCTCTCTCACCATCAGCCTGCTCCCTTTCTCACCACCAGCCTATTCTCTCTCTCACCATCGGCCTACTCCCTCTCTCACCACCAACTTACTCCTTTCTCTCTCACCCTAATACTGCTCCATCTCTCACCATCGGCCTCTCTCACCATCAGCCTGCTCCCTCTCTCACCATCAGCCTTCTCCCTCTCTCACCATCAGCCTTCTCCCTCTCTCACCACCAGCCTATTCTCTCTCTCACCATCAGCCTACTCCCTCTCTCACCACCAACTCACTCCCTTCTCTCTCACCCTAATACTGCTCCATCTCTCACCATCGGCCTTCTCCCTCTCTCACCATCCGCAGGCTCCCTCTCTCACCATCAGCCTGCTCCCTCTCTCACCACCAGCCTATTCTCTCTCTCACCATCGGAATACTCCCTCTTTCACCACCAACTTACTCCCTTCTCTCTCACCCTAATACTGCTCCATCTCTCACCGTCGGCCTTCTCCCTCTCTCACCATCCTCCTGCTCCCTCTCTCACCATCAGCCTGCTCCCTCTCTCACCACCAACCTATTCCCTTCTCTCTCACCCTAGACCTTCTCCATCTCGCACCATCAGCCTACTCCCTCTCTCACCATCAGCCTACTCCCTCTCTCACCATCAGCCTACTCCCTCTCTCACCATCCACCTACTCCCTCTCTCACCATCCGCCTACTCCCTCTCTCACCATCCACCTACTCCCTCTCTCACCATCCGCCTACTCCCCCTCTCACCATCCGCCTACTCCCTCTCTCACCATCCGCCTACTCCCCCTCTCACCATCCGCCTACTCCCTCTCTCACCATCCGCCTACTCCCTCTCTCACCATCCGCCTACTCCCTCTCTCACCATCCGCCTACTCCCCCTCTCACCATCCGCCTACTCCCTCTCTCACCATCCGCCTACTCCCTCTCTCACCATCCGCCTACTCCCCCTCTCACCATCAGCCTACTCCCTCTCTCACCATCAGCCTACTCCCTCTCTCACCATCCGCCTATTCCCCCTCTCACCATCCGCCTACTCCCTCTCTCACCATCCGCCTACTCCCTCTCTCACCTTCTGCTGCTCCCTCTCTCTGCGTCTCCTCCCCACCTCTCTCGTCTCCGTTCCTCTCTCCATCTCTCCCACCCTAAATCCCTTCCCTTCTCACCCTCTCCCCCGCTTCTGCCCACTCTCTCCCGCGCTCCATCGCCCTGTCCCCATCGTTCGCCCGATTTCCCTGTCGCCCCTCCTATCCGCCCCTCTCCCGCCCTCTTTCCGTCATTCTCCCCTTCTCCCTCCCCTCGCTCCCCGTCTCTCCCCTCAATGCCCCTCTCGCTCGTCGCTCCCCCCCTTCCCGCTCCATCTATTCCAAATTGTCACCCTTCCTCTCCCTTCCCCTTCCCCTACCTTCCCGGCGCGTAAGATCCTGACAGCTCTCCTAGTCGCGCGCACGGTCGGACTGCCTCACCCGCTGCAACTGCTCGCGTCTCTGACGCGGGCAGTGAGGCGTGACGTGGTAGGTGTGGCGCGGCTCGCGGGATAGATCACGGCGGTTCTGTGCGTCCGTCGACGTCTACGGCAGGCCGGATTTTTTGTGGATCTCGCGCCCTTTTCGCAGCCGGCATGACCAGAATAGAGCATTGGCGGTCGCGTGAGAGGCCATTCACATCCCACCCGCACAGTCGGTGTCCCGGCGTTCGGATGCAGGGTTCGTGACGATGATAGTATGACCATGCTGCATCCTCGTGCATCAGGCACGTGTTTTAATGGCATCGCGCATCCGGCGCGCATTTCAATGGCGGCGGGGCGTTTCAATGGCGGTAATGAGTTTCTGTCGCGGTCTACCTGAGGAGCTCTAATTCCCTCGTCTACGAAACTGAGTCTGGCAGTGGTGCGTGTTTCCTTACCGACGTACCTCTTAGTACGTGGTCCGCCTTGAGCACAGCCATCTAGGGCGGTTGCTCGGTTCCCGTTGGGCGAGCTGGGGGTGGTGTGCTAGGCGACGGCCAGTCTGACCACCCTGCACCTAATCAGGTCACAGCGCCAAGTGGTGTGGGACTGCTGACGGTCCGTGGGGCAGGTTGCTTCTCCTACTGGAAAGAGCGGTATTATGGGTAAGGTGAGAGCAGGGGTTGGGCATGGCGTGGTTTTGGAATTGGCTCGTGGTTCAGTGTTGTCGCATGGTAGGTTTGGGATCTGGTGGGCATGTTCGAGGTGCTCCCCTGGTTCGGGTTTGGGTTGATTTGGCGAACAAATCTTTGTCGCAAAATTTTCTCGTCACACCCTTTCGTGTTCGTACCTCGCCCTCCAATCCCGAAGCACCAGTTCGCTTTCTAGTGTTAAACCTTTGTAATTATGAGATGGGGGCTTTAACTGTACATTCGTATATAGTCCATCAATATTGAGAGGAAAAAACTTCTCTATACATACTGATGTATGGATTTTCTTTTGTTCTGGTTTGGTGGTGGCACGCTGGACCACGAATGAATATATTACGCGTACAGCGGTTTCAGCTGCGTTGGCAGCGAGATTTGTGGACCCAATCATGCACCTTGTTTAGCTTTGCTCTTGGTTACCAGCGGGCAGTTTCGTTCGTTGGGTCTTGTGTGGTATTTTTCCAGTCGACCGACAATGAACGTCGGCGCGAGGCGAAACTCCTGGTACAGGACGGTACAGAATTGTTTTCCGAGATTCACGTTGAGCTGGGGGCTGGGCTGGCTGGGCTACTGCTTCTCTCTTCCCCAGCTCAATTCTTGGCAGACCAACCTTCCGAATCGCTGGCCTACAGTGCAGTAGAAACAATGCAGCCCAGCCCGCGGCTCGACGAACCAACCTCCCCTTCAACAAGGCTCCTTCCCAACTGTATCACTATTGATGGCAGGCACCTGCCCATTTGATTCCAGAGATGGAAGAGGGCTACAGTACTGTCCAAGCGGAGTCATAATTCCAGACGGGATTCTTCCCTCATCCCATTTCACTCAAAGCTGCTTGGACGGTTTGTGCCAATGACTGTTCAAGTTCCTTGGCGGAGAGGAAAGGCTCGTTCATAATGAACATTCCAGTACCCGTCAGCCGCTTGTAACCACGCTAATTCTGTTCTCGTGGAGAAAACACCGCGATTCGCCTCACGATGCTGTGCGAAGTACGTGCCACGGTACGTTATAAAAATGTGAAGTTTCTCAATTGTCGCTCCACTGATCCCTCGTCAAAGAGTTCGCGTGCTGGTGCTACCAGTCGCTCAGGGAGAAAGTTGTTTCATGTGTCTCTTATTGGACAAGTTCAGTCTTTCGTTTGATGTTCGGTATTCGATATTATGAACAGATTCGCGTTTGTGTCAACCGTGAAATGAGCGCTTTTTACCACGCCTTAGGAGAATGAGGTTCGTTCGCACATTATCAAGACCAGAATTTATGGTGTATAGATATATATCTATTCAGATCATCAAGGGTATCATTTGGCCCAAAACAGAAAACCCCTCATGCTCTGAATCTTTCGCCATGTCCCAAGGCCCTCGATTCAGGCCTGGGGCGTTGGGGCCCCCATCTTCCACGTCTTCCCTGGTTTCCAAAGCTGCGTCGTCCAAATCACAACTTCGGCAGCACAATCTGTCTGTGCAAGGCGCTAGCTTCAAGAAGTTCCTCGCGCTCTCCATCCCATACATTCCACCTCTGGCTGAACCACATCACATGTGGTTCCATGCGCCTTCTTCTCACTGCAGCCCGTACGCGGCGCCGCGCTAACCATGCGGCGTCGACGCGCGCCTCCCACGAACTCAAAGCCATCCCGACCGCCTCACCACCGGCGCCTCCTCGAGTAGCTCCCGCCATGTCCCCGCGGCTCCCCGTACTCATCGCGACTCTGCTTCTCGCAAGCCTTCTCCATGGCCCCGCACTATCCGCCGCACAGACGGCGTACTCCGCCGTGGGAGTCCCCACGGCGATAGTAGCGGGCGGCGTGTACAACCCGCTGACGGGCGACGTGTACAACCAGGCATGGCAGATCAACTCGCTCACGCAGCGCGAGACGGGCTACTCGGCGAACCCCGACGCGAACAACAACGCGGAGCTCACGTCGTGCGCCGTCTCCACGGACGGCAACGCCTTCACGTCGTCCGGCGACAAGTACGTCAACATGATTCAGTACACTACCAGCGGGCCGGTAGCGTTGCCGGCCCTGCCGCTCAACATCAACGTCACGAGCGTCGCCCTCGGCGGGCCGTCGGAGCGGCTCCTCGTGGCGGCGGACGGGTCGGCCGCAGCCGGCGGCGCCGTGGGGATTCGGCGCGACACGCTGCAGTCGACGGTGCTGGTCGCGCCCGGTTCACAGTGCATGTCGGCTAGCTTCTGCTCTTCGTTCGCGCTGCTGGCGTGCCACGACACGGCCACCGACGCCAACACGCTCGTCACGATCCCATTCGACTCTGCCACCGGCGCGTTCCTCACCGCCGCTAAGGCCTCTTTCGCCATTCCGTTCCCGCCGGCTCAGGCGGCTTGTTCCCCGAAGGGCGGATTTGTGGCCGTGCTGCGGCTCGACGCGAACACCGTGTTCACATATAAGCTGCCTCTCGCCGACCCGCTTACCGCGCTCTCCACGTCGCAGATGACCCCCGGCATGCCCAGCTCCATGGCCTTCGACGCCACTAACAGCGAGATTCTGGTAACGAGCGCCGCGGATTTCCCGGGCCTGCCGGGCGACGCGTACCTAGGCACGCTCGACACCGTCGGGTACACCGAAACGGGCGGCGCGGAGCCCGCGGCGCGGATCGGCGCGTTCCAGTACACGACCGCGTCGCCGGTGGGCGGCCAGGTGGCGGTGTATCCGAAACCGACGGTGGCTTACGTGGCGCTGCCGGAGGGGCTGTACGTGGTGCGGCTCGTGCAGGACGGCGAGCTCGACTACGGCTCCGCGTTCTTCGCCACGCTCGGCGCCGTGCAGGACGGCTGGAGCTACTTCGCCACCACCGTCTGCGCGCAGCGATTCGTCGCCGCTCCGCCGCCCCCCAGCCCACCTCCGCCTCCCCCAAATCCTCCTCCCAAGCCCCCGAGCCCTCCACCGAAGCCCCCTAGCCCCCCGCCCAGACCCCCGCCTCCTCCTAAGCCGCCGAGCCCGCCTCCCAAGCCTCCCAGTCCGCCCCCAAGGCCGCCCCCACCTCCCAAGCCGCCCAGCCCACCTCCCAAGCCGCCTCCTCCCCCAAAACCTCCCAGCCCGCCGCCTAAGCCGCCTCCATCGCCGCCGAAGCCCCCTAACCCGCCGCCAAAGCCCCCCAATCCTCCGCCAAAACCCCCCAGCCCGCCGCCGCCGAAGCCTCCACCACCGCCCCGCCCACCTCCACCGAAGCCGCCGAGCCCGCCGAAGCCTCCACCGCCTCGTCCGCCTCCTCCGAAGCCGCCGAGCCCGCCCAAGCCGCCAAGCCCGCCGCCTCCGCGACCACCGCCGCCTAAGCCGGTGACGAGCACGCTGGCGACGACGGCGTCTGTGCTGTCGGAGTGGACTGGCGGCGATGCTGGCTTGTTCGCAACCGTCGCGAGCGACGCTGACGCCGCTGTGGCCAGGCACCCGCCTGCAAGGACCGCTCCCGGCGCGTACTACGGCGTGGCGCAGCCGCCACCACCAGGTGAGGACAGGGCCAAAAAAAGTCGGAGAGGAAAGGGTGAATAGGGCCGCGGTGGTTGTTTTGGTGACGCACAACTGCCGTATTTGGCTTGTCTCATGCTGGAGAAAGCCTTTTTGAGTGTAACATTCTTGGAGAATGCTAGAATATTCGCCGCTTGTTGTTGCTCTCGCTCTGTCTTTGGTAGCACGCTCAACTCCTAATTCAACTCATCCGCGTATGTGCTATCTGCTTGCCTACTTCCCCTATGCGTCATCCCGATCTTCCCCCTGCTCCATTGCACGTATGCCATACCGGTTTTCTTGGCGGTGTACCAGAGGCGACGTCATGCTACGTGGGCACGAACGCGCAGTGCCCGTTCCAGCTGGATTGCCTGGACTTTGGCATGAGGAGGGGATGCACGTGCATGAATGACATCATTCCACAAGGACAGTGCAGATGTGAGTCGTCTCTCTACACCTCATGTGCCATTACACCAAGGGCCACTTGGCTAAACTCTCGGGTCCTGCCACTCCTTTCATTCGATCTTACCTTTCCTGGCGATCACACTCGCAGTATTTGACTCCAGTAATTTTACACCCTCATACTTTCCTCTTCCCCTCCCTCGTCATCCCTTGTACACAGATGCGAGCGCGTGTCTGGACACGTCAGCGTGCCCAGTGGAGGCCACGTGCACCACCACAGTCAGGGGCCGCACCGTGTGCGCGTGCCCTCGTGGCTACCGCCCTCTGAAGCAGCGTGCAGGTGACTTCGCTTTCAGCTACTGCGCTCGGTCCACCTGCAAGAGGAGCAACGCCTTTGTTGGCTTCAGCTGTGCCATGCACGGTGAGGAAGACATCGTAACTTAGTAGCCGATGGCTTCTCTCCTGCCTTCACCCCACTCCCCCGCCCCCCCTCCTCTCTCTCTCTCTCTCTCTCTCTCTCTCTCTCTCTCTCTCTCTCTCTCTCTCTCTCTCTCTCTCTCTCTCTCTTTCTCCCTCCCTTCCTCTCCCTCCCTCTCTCCCTCTCTCTCGCCCTCTTCATAAACGCACACATTCACTAATCCAAAACTTAACTCTTCCTTGGTGCAACATCCCCGCGTCACGTCCTGCTGCAGATCAATCAGCCGCTGGAATGAGCTTTTTTGGGTAGAGTGGTGTGTGAGAGGAGCATGGGTGCGAAAAGTTGGGAATGGGCTATATTCTGATTATTTCATGAGGTTATGCTGGGTGTTTTGCAAATAAGAAACCATGGGTTTACTTAAAGCAAGAGGTTATAATAGTGACCCCTCTTTCTAGTTGGGCCCAACTAGAAACGACCCTTGAGCGAATATTTTGCTTCGCGCCGGGCAGCAGCCCAATTTTTTTTAGCTTGCCTTGGGCCATGAAATCGAATTGCACCTGCGACGAGAATGCTATCGTAACGGATCGTACGACCACTGGCATGCGCAGATAATAATTTCGACCAATCGGCAACCAGGCTTGGTTTAGCAGGAGTAGTGAACTCAGGTCCAACTTGTAATTCAAGGTGGGACCACTTGGTTCAACCTGCGAGCAGTAGGTGTTAAAGTGAGAACTGAAATAAAAGACTAGAAGTGGAAACTTAGAACAAATACAAGTTGGTTGTACTCACTAGAAGCATACCTCAGTCTAGCCTATAATTTCTATATAGCTAATCTGTATAAGTTGACACACCCCCTAGGCTAGACAAGGGGTGATGCTAAGCAAGAAGCAAACAGCTCAAGGTGGCACTACTGTTCAAATTATATAAGTTATAATTTAATATAGGCTTGGTAGGTTGTTACTGAACCTTTCTGTAGGGGGTACAAACCCCTCCTTGTACTCCCCTCTCTTCCTAATCCAATACTCTTTCCTCTCGACATTTTCCTACTCTCCTAGCTAAACCCCACCGCCACAACCATGGCTGCCTTCTTTCACTTCCTCCTAGCCTAGTGCTACTTTAACAACTACTAGTCCAACCACTGAGGCAGGGGTTTGGAGACCAGTCAGCAAGAATACACACAAAACTAAAGCAAGCCAGGGTGGCACTACTAGTCCAGTCACTGGAGGTAAGGCCACAAGGCCAGTTTGACAAGCATATATAATAGAGAGTACACAATCAGGATCCTAACAGGTGACTAGCTACAGGAACAAGACCAAGCTGTACACAGTGCCGCTGATGATCTTTAGGCGCAAGCTGACGGAAACTAAACTAGGCAGTAGGAAGGAAAAAGGGCCGCCATGAATGTGGCGGCGGGGTTTAGATAGGAGGTGGACGAGAGTGTCGAGAGAAAAGGAGTTGATTAGGAAGAGAGAGGAGTACAAGGAGGGGTTTGTACCCTCTACAAAAAGGTTCAGTAACAACCTACAAAGCCTATATTAAATTAGAACTTATATAATTTTAACACACCCCCTAGGCTTGGTAGTGTCAAGCCCACTCACACCCCCACACCCGCACCCCCTAGCCCAACACCCCCATTCCCAGTAGCAGCCGCAACGACTCCAGAAGTGGGCAGCTCCCACGGCCCGTGGGATGGCAATGGCGGCAGCAGCGACATTGACGACAGCGGCGGCGCCCGGCCCGCGGCAACAGCGGCGGGTTGAAGGTCAGAGGCTGGTGCAGCGGCCCCCGCCCTCTCGGCAGCATGTCCAGTCACCTCGGCGGTGGGGAGGGCCCTCATGAGGCAGTCGTCGGCTGCAGCAAGGAAGGGGGGGGAAGCAGGGGAAGGATGGGGAGGAGGGGGGGGGGGAGGGGCGCGGCGTAGTCCATAATCACGCCGGTGGCGGTAGAGCGGGCGGCAGGTCCAGCGGCGCCACTGACGTTGCGCGGCCGGCTGTCGCCCGACGACGCCGCCACGGCAGCCTTACGACGCCGCCACAGCGCGGCGTCGCAGGACGTCGACGCTGCGACGGTATGCACGGCGCCGTCGCAGCAGTGTGGCATCGACGCCACCCGTCACGGCGCGACGGCACGACAGGAACGGGCATGGCCGCCACGGCGGCACGGCAGGAACGACTGACGAACGAGAACGCAGCGGAAGGCACGGAGGGGAGCAGGCCCAGGAAGGGCGTCCCGCTCTCGATACCATGACGGAAACTAAACTAGGCAGTAGGAAGGAAAAAGGGCCGCCATGAATGTGGCGGCGGGGTTTAGATAGGAGGTGGACGAGAGTGTCGAGAGAAAAGGAGTTGATTAGGAAGAGAGAGGAGTACAAGGAGGGGTTTGTACCCTCTACAGAAAGGTTCAGTAACAACCTATCAAGCCTATATTAAATTATAACTTATATAATTTTAACACAAGCGCCTTAGTAAAGATATCAGCTGTGTTGGCACCTGAGGCCAAGTGAACTACGCGGGCCTGGCGGCGCTGCTGTAGCTCGCGCAGGAGGAAGTACCGCAGCTGGATATGCTTCGCTCTGCCCTCAAGCCGAGGCTCCTGACACAGGAGTATCATGGCCCTGTTGTCAGCGTACAGGACCGGGGCAGAGCTAGGCCGCTCACCTAAGTCTGTGAGCAAGAAGGTCAGCCAGCGGAGCTCCTGTACCACCATGGCACCAGCGTAGATCTCAGCCTCACAGCTAGACTGAGCTACAGACGATGAGCGAGTGGATCTCCAAGAGATAGCACTTGAACCAAGGCTAAAACAGTAGCCCTACGACGACCTGAGCGTCTCAGAGTCGTCTGCCCAAGAAGCGTCTATGTGCCCTGTAAGGACCACTGGTCTGCGTCCTCCTAGCACTAACCCCATGCCCGATGTACTAGCAAGATAACGCAAAACCCTCTTAGCGGCAGACCAGTGCTGAGGTCGGTGTCTGCCTGTAGCCACAAAGCGAGCCAGGATGCTGAGAGGGTATGCGAGATCTGGGCGAGTGCAAGTCATCAGGTACATGAGGCAACCCACCAGCTCTGCGTAGGGGCCACTGGGCTCTACTGGCTCCTCAGGAACGGGAGCAGAGAGCCCATGGTCTACGGGTAGAGGTGTGGGCTGTGCGGAGGAGAACTGAATACCGAACCTCTGAAGGACCTGACGCACCAAGTGTGACTGTGTCAGAGTAGTGGTGCGTGCTGCTCTGTCCCTAGAGATCTGCAGGCCAAGATAGCGACGCAGCTCTCCAAGGTCAGTGCAGGTGTGTCTCTTCAGAAGCTCGGCCTTCATAGAGACCAGTGCGTCCCTGTCAGCAGTAGCGAAGACCAGATCGTCTACGTAGACAAGGATGTAGAACGGAGTCTAGCCGGAACGCACAAACAGAGCGGGGTCAGCAGGGGACGGAAAGAACTGCAGGCCAGGTGGGCGCAACAAGGCTAGGCAGGGCGCGACGGGGCCGAGCGGGTGCGACGGGGCCAGGCAGGGCGCGACGGGGCCCAGGAGGGGCGCGAGAGGGCTAGGAGGCGCGACGGGGCCCAGGAGGGGTGCGACGGGGCTAGGGGGCGCGACGGGGCCTAGCTAGGGTACGGGCGGAGGGGGGGCGCGGCGGGGCCTAGCTAGGGTACGGGCGGAAGCGGTATGTAGGGGATTCTAACCTACGCGTGATACCATGTTAAAGTGAGAACTGAATAATAGACTAGAAGTGGAAACCTAGAACAAATACTAGTTGGTTGTACTCACTAGAAGCATACCTCGGTCTAGCCTATAACTTCTACATAGATAATCTGTATAAGTTGACAGTGGGGACTGTGCAACTGGTCGCGCGCTATTTGCGACTTTAGTTTGTTCGCGTCAAATGCTGCTCATGCAACGTTTCCCACCAAACGAGACGGGGTTTCCCGCCAACCAATCAAGTAACTGCTCATGTTCGCGCAGTTTTCCCTGCTCGCATGTCTCGACAGTGAACCCCTCTGTCTCAAAGAAGCTTAGGACACTAACTAAACTTAGGAACCTAGCTTAGCTAGGAAGGAAGGAAGGACGCCATGGAATGGCGTGAGGCAAGTAGATCTAGGAGTAGGCAAAAGTGACGAGAAAGAAGAGAGATGGACTAGGAAGAGAGAGAGGTACAAGGAGGGGATTGTACCCTCTACAGAAAGGTTCAGTAACACTACCAAGCCTATCAATTATATAACTCAATATAATTTTAACACTCTGCCCCAACCAGTTTGTCCCTTAGTCGCTACAACGAACTTCTGTGCCTTTTCAAGTTGGACCCGCATTCATTATTTTGACCACTCGCTTTAACGCGGCAAAATACTGATAACATCTGAGCTAAATGCCGTCGAGTGCACCATCTTACTCCCACCTAGTACTTCTGAAATAATTGTTTATACGAATCTTCTTTAATTTCTAATATCGGAACGGCTAAGTCTAGACCGCGAATTTCTCATTGATAGGGTTGCTGCACTGATGTCTCTACGTTACAGAATGGTGGAAAAACCGTTGCTGGCGTGTACCGCAGTATTTTCACAGGGGGTGCTGCCGAGAGGGTATTCACCCCCCGGAAACAGCTCTTGAAGACCAGATCCAGATATTCTTGAAAAGCAAATGAAACTTGGGTTTCTATACGAAACGTTTACTGCACGATTTAGTGTTTCTTGAGTCAGGAAACCCGACGTCAGCTTAGGCAGTGCTCAAAGTTTCTGCCGGCGTGGAGTCTGACAAGCTTAGGCCGTAGGTACAAGGGGATACTGTCTACGCACTCAGAAATGGTCAGGGTGGAAACAAGCATTCTTCTGCCGCCCAGTTTCAGGGTGTGAAATTAACGGTTGAGAACAGCAGGGGAATGGACTTGGACTGTTTGCCAGAAGGTGTTTGCTCATTGGTCGCTATCTCCACACATTTCGGGAACTTGACACGCATGCTACACGTATTCTTTGTTATTGTTTTCCCCGGAACAGTCTGAATTGTAAACCCACCGACCAGGTTCTCAGCATGACGCGTTGACACTGAACCTGATTGGCTGCAGTTTAAACGATAGCGAAAATTGCGAGATTCAGAGCTGGGCTGTCGCGTAGGCAACCTTCCTTGTGCATGAGCGTTATTATGTAACCGAATGACTTCTTTGTGTCGGCTTTCCCCTTCAATGTCCCGTTTGCCTGGGTTTGATCGTTTCCTGGTTACAGAATCGAGCCGTGTGAAAAAACTGTAAAATTAATAGAAGGAAAAATGTATCATCCAAAACCATGGGGCGGATGCTTTCTCCTTCCATCCAGACCGTCCACGCTATGCACGATTCCATAGACCATTCGCTGTCGCTCAACGCTCGAGGCATGTCTGGCCGGAAAGGGATTCTCTTGTTCCGCCCTCCACAGGCCTGGCTGCCAGCGTCGCCTCGGGTTTGGATTGGCTGTGTTCCCGCACCAGTTGGGCAGCTCGCCTCGCCTTGACTTCCAGTAAAGATCGCGAAGGGAGGGTGTCGCCTCGGCCGCTCACCTCGCCTGCGCTCCTCCTGCGTCCTTCCTGGGGCCACAGGAGTGTACCCGTCTTCCCCATTCTCCCCTCCCTCCCTTCTCATGACACTCCTTTTCCAGAGCCTTGTCCCTTACCTCACTCCCATGATCCCATCCCATCCCATCCCATGCCAATCTTGTGCAACAGAACTTCCACCTCCCCTCCAGTCCCTCATATCCTGTAGGCTAGATCATCCATTCCCGTTGTTTCATAAGCTTCTATAATTCATTAGCTTCTATTATTCATCCCCGCTGATTGGAGGAGGCATCGAGACCGCAATTCTTGATTTGCCAGAGCATTAGGTTGGTTCAAACCTTGTCTGAGACTTCAATTTTTTCTCAATCATGATGCTCGCCAACGGAGTCCTCCCAAGGCCAACCTGTAGCTCCCTCAGTTATGTTGATAAGGGATCCGTCTTCGCTGGAATTGCGGGTGCTGCAAAGTCCAGCTCTTACACCAATCAGCTGGCTTTATTTCTCCTCTCGCGCCAGCCGTTGAGTCGCCATGTGTCATCGTGTCGCATTATGCCGAGAGCCAGGCTTGTCGCTGATGATGTAACGTTAACGACGTCAGCACCAAAGAAGGCCAGTGACGGCCGTTCTATCGTGCTCGCCTCTCTTCCAAGTGCGTAATTCCTCCGTTCATGGCTGAATTCTCCAAGTGTGTATTTTCCACTTTCTACTTCGCCTCGTCGCCAGTTCGTCACTGACAAAGATCCTTCGTACGTCGCCTGTCTCCCCCTCGCAGGGTCCATCCAAGTGACCTTCACAATGGAGCGGCGCTGCGAGTTCGGCGAGCACTACGCCGTGGTGGGGGAGGTCGACGAGCTTCGCTTCTGGGACCCCGCTAAGGCGGTCGTCGCGCAATGGTCGGAAGGCCACCATTGGAGGGTCACCGTTGTAAGTCTCACTCGCCACCCCCCCTCCCCGTATTGTTTTTGCCTTTATCCCTCCGTCAGATTCCATCCCCATGTGTTGCATCGCGATTCATCGCTCTCACTCTCCGTTCTCCGTTCTTCTTCAGGACCTCCCTGCGGATCGGCCGATCGAGTTCAAGTTCGTGCTGCTCGGCCGGCACGGGGAGGTGTGGTGGCAGCCGGGTCGAAACCACGTGCTCGCCACGGCGGGCTTGGCGCGCAGCGTGGACGTGCACGTGCCGTGGGACACAGAGCAGCCGTTGGTGGTGGTTAACCACCCGGAGAGAAGCACCAGCAGTGGGAGCCTGAACGGCGCACTTACCGCTATCACGATTCTGGAGGACGAGAAGGAGCTGGTTGCGGAAAGCAGCGAAATCACGGTGAACGGCCGCTCCAGTCTCAGCATGGAATCCAACGGCCATTCCAATTCTGGCATGGAGTCCGACGGCTATTCCAACTCTGGCATGGAATTTGACGATTATTCCCTTTCTGGCATGGAATCCAACGGCTATTCTTATTATGGCATGGAATCTAACAGTTATTCCGACTTTTGCATGGAATTCAACGGTCTTTCCGACCTTGGCATGGAATCCAACGGCTACTCCAATCCGAGCATCAGTGGGGTCGATTTGGTCATTCCAGCAGAAGAGGACACAGCTGACCCTTCGGTCACTCTCAAGGGGGCAGCACGTGGCGAACGGGCTCTCTTGCCAGCTGGCAGAAGTAACGCTGACAATTCGCAAGCAGACGCTATGGAGAAGCGTGGAGTTCTGGCTGCAGGGGTGGCGACTAATGCATCATTCAATGCCGCAGCTTTTAACGCTGCGGAGTCTTTCCCAACAATATCGGATCTTTATGGAACAGGAGGCGTGGATAATGAGGGGGAAAGGGAACTGGAGTATGTGTCAGGTTCCGCAGGAGCAGGGATGCGTGCCGACATTGCAGGAAGCGTGGAGGCGGCCTGCACAGAGCAAAGTGACGAGGAGGTGAGCGCCTTATGAGAAGTTGCATATTATGTCCTTGTGGACCAACTTGTCCCTCACCTGCGTTTTGTTCATCGCCTTGTTGTACGTTCCATTGCCTGATGCAGGGTAAGTCACTCATGGTTCAAAGAGAGGGATCAAGCAGTGGTGGCGACAGGAAGGGCCTGCAGAGCAACACAGGGGATCAGGTCAAGCCTGCACGTCAGAGAAGGAAGGAGCGGAAATCAAGCAGCAAGTACCTCTCAGGTGAAATATTCTGAAGACCGGTGGCCAAGCATCGCACATGCCATTCTGCTCTTATTTTTGTGATCCTGCACTCACAAAATCACCCTTCTCCCTATTATCCCTGCAGAGCTGTTCTTCAACGATGCACATCTCCCCATGCGTCGCTGGGCTGGGGAGCTCTACCAAGAGAACCCATCAAGCACTCCTACAACAAACCATCTTCCTGCAAGCCCTGCTCTCAGCTCCGCAGCTTCACCAGCCCCATCTAATCCCAATCAGAAGTCAGCAGCACTCCTAGGTGCATCCCATAACTCCCACCCTCTCCATCTGGCCACAAGCGGCAGCACCCCAGTGTCAGCGCAGTTCGCGGCTCATCCCAGCAGCGCTTCCTCCTTGACTGCGACCCTGACACCACCTGCTCCGGGCCTTTTTGACGGGCTCGGTGAAGTGATGGAGCGGGGCGTGGGGAGGCTGTTCAGCCGCATGCAGCACTCCCTGGCCCGGGCTCGAATCTGGCTCGTGCTCATCCCCCTGCCGGCGCTGTCCACTCCACTTGCAGCACTTGCAGTTGCTGTGCAGCTGTTCCTCCTCCTGACCCTCTGAAGCTGAATCATGCCAGGCACTATTTCTTAGTTCCATCTGCAACATAGTGTGTGATGGACTATGTTGAGTACATATATGGCTGAGTACAGGTAGTAACAAGTGCATTGCATGTATCAAGTGTTGCGTTTCGAATCACGAACCACATCTTTCGCCGAACCTAGGTCAGGTACCAATACATTCTTGCCCTTGTTGGTGGGTTAAGACGTTGTGGCAATTGGTACAGTACAGCTTGTCATGCTGCTGAACCCAAGGGGTGTACCTCAAGGCCTGACACAAACGAATCCTTCCATGCAAGGTGCATATGTCTCCATGCAGCGGAGCAACACCAAACACGCGTCAGGGCGCAGGAACTACGAAGAGATTATTGGAACATTCCTCGGGAACCAGAACATTATAAATTGTATTCACAGCCATGACGGACGTCAGCGCAGCAGCCACCGCCGCAGGAGCGTCGGGGGGAATAGCCACGGCCCGAATAACTCCGACAGCCAGCTCGTTTCTCGACGCGCACCGCTGGGCGCTCGTGCTCGGCTCTGCTCTAGCCGTCGTCGCCGCAGCGAGTTATTTCCGTCGGCGCTGGCAACGGCGTGCTCAGGCTGCCGCACCGCCAACTCAGCAGCCCACGCGGTCAGGTTCGTCCGTGGGTGATTCTTGATTCCCTATAAACACCTTCGCCTTGCCGTTCGGTCAAGTCATCCTCCTCTCACGGTTTGCTCCTCTCGGCGCCCTTGGCTTACTTTTTCTCTGTTTTTTCCCGCGCCTGTCCTTGCGGGCTGTATGTTCTCCCTTGCCTTCCCAAATCAACCTTGCCATGTATGCGCCCTCCCTCATCCCGCTCACTCCCCCCCATCTCCCACCTCCCTCCTAGACTCCCTCCTCTCCCCTCACTTCCTAACCCCCCCTCCTCCCCCCCACCTCCCCCCCACCCTCCTCTCCCTCTTTCATCTTCCCTGACAGCCATCCCAACAGAATCTGAATCTCCCATGAAGTCAACAGGCTTCACACCGCAGCAGCAGCATCACAACACTAGACCCGCCTCCTCCTCCTCACAGCAGGGCTCAAGGAAGCAGCAGCTGGACGCGCAAAGACAAGCAGCCATGGAGCGACTGCAGGGGCAGATGGACCGGGCGGGCGCTGAGTGGCGGGCACACGAGGCGGAGAGGAAGGAGGAGGAGAGGAAGAAAGAGGAGGCGAGGAGGCATAAGCAGCTACAGTACTTGGAGGAGGAGGAAGTGAGGCTAGGGTTCAAGCATAAGGGGGAAGGGGGGGACTGGGACAGGGGCAAGGGCAAGACGGAGTAGTAGTCCGGCTGCTGGTCATTGGAGGCGTGCTGCTTCTGTCGGCACTAGCTCAGGGTATGCCAATCTATTCCTACACTTAGCCGGGTAACTGGTAGTACTACCGCTGTGCCTGCTTCTTTGGTGGGCTTCGTTTCCCCAACTTCAGGAGCTTGGGGGTGCCAGTGTACAAAAGTATGGGGGCTCCTGATTTGAGCGTGCATAAGAATAGGAGGCAGCAGTACAATGCATGGGGCTTGTAAGACTGAAGGTGTTGGTTTATGGTCGTACATGTCCGTTTCTCTACACTAGGCCTGAAGCCTGCCCAGCGACCAGGGCATGCCTCACAAAGGGACATGTAACTTCCGAGACATTTCTTAACCACTTTAGCGACACGGCAGTGCGGTCGTGGTTGTGCTCTCCCAGCGCTGTAGTACACTCAGTACCCAGGAGGACTACACTGGGCCGACTTCATGAGTTAATGATATATCAGTTGCACCCTATCTCCTAATGGGGTGACTAGCACTGCTGATGCCAGTGCTGGTAGGTACCGTATGTTTGCAGGCTGCACTGTACAAAGGATGTACCACCAGTACAACCAAATCACGCAACAGCCGAGCCGAGAGGACCTGCAGCAGCCAGGCTGCACGGCAAATCCTCTAGCCCACAAGACCTCCAGGCATAGAGTCTAAGCGGTTGGCGTGGGGGGCCTGTAGGTGTCCCTGCGCCGGAGCCCCTGCGCTGAGAAGGACGAGGGCTGCTGCAAGTACACGGTGGTGGGGTCATTGGGGTCCATGTATGCGCTGCGCACCATGTCATCCACAGGCAGCCGCTGCGTGGGAAGTGGGTCCACGGGCGGGGGGGACTGGCCTGCTGTGCTGGGTGCGGCGGCGGGCGAGGCTGGAAAGGAGGAGGGGTGGGCGGAGGAGCGGAGGCCGCGGAGGATGGAGAAGAAGAGCGGGAGGAAGGTGCCCACGCCGCCGTGCATGAAGTAGATGGTGAACGCGTGCGGTGTCTGCATTGCCGCATGCACACTGCTGTCCGCCACCTGACGTGCGAGAGCGCGGAGGGTTGCAGATGGACGGAATAGACGTTAGAGGCCACGCAGCAGGGATGGCACCAAGCTAACAAATCAGGTGTTCAAGAACAAGAGCTTATGGTTGGAGTGAAGTGCGCAACCACACTGGTGCAAAGCGGAAAGGTGAAAGAGACGAGAGGCAACCGGAAGCAGGGGGTTGTGGCAGCAGAAGTGGGAGGGCGAGGCGTGGCTCACAGGTAGCACGACGCCGGAGATGTTGTTGGCGCCAAATATAGGCTGGTTGAACTTCTCCCCGTGCACGTACAGCTGCCACGGGCCGTGCGGGGGGTTGGGCGGGTGGCGGAAGGGGGGATGGGGTTGTGGAGAGGGGGGGTGGTAAGTGAGAATGGGAAAAGGGAGCATCCATGATGGGCTTAGGAAAGGCAGGAGGCAGGTTGATCGTGACAGGTGGGGAGGCTGGCTGGAAAAGAGCGCCGGGGGGGAGAGGTGGGAGGGGGGGGAAAGAGGAGGGGGGCAATAAGGACAGAGAGAGCAGAGGAAGGAGAGAGGGGAGGAAGGAGGGGGGGAAGCAGGGATGAGGGAATAAACAGGCGAATGAAGTGAGGATAGGCGGGAAAGAGGATAAGCGGGAAAGAGGATAAGCGGAAGGTGGAGTTGATGCGGAGAAGGGCAGGAAGGGCCAGATGGAAGCATACGAGAGGCATGTCGAAGGCGAGGAGCGGCGGCTGGGAGGCCGGCTGGGCAACAAAGACCATGCGGATGTTGGAGAGGAAGAGCGTGCCGCGCCCCACCCACTTGCCGCTCGCCACCCTGCCGCGAGCGCAGCGGGAGAGACGGGAAGGGGGGGTTGGTGGGTTCGGAGGTGAGGGAACAGAAAGGGGGATATGTGGAGAAGGGGAAGATAAGGATTGTGGTGGATGGGGCCGGGAAGGGATCGGAGGGAAGGTGCGAGCAGTACCACAAAGTGGATGGAAAGAGGAAGCTTAGGAGCCGCGGAAAGTAGAGAGAGGAATCGGGCCTGGAGGTTCCAAGAGGAAAAATAACCGAATTGGTGGCATAATCGGTAGGAGCAAGAGCGAGCTGGCGAAAGAAACGCAATAGAGACAAAGGGGTGCTGGTAGGGAGAGTGTAGCGAGGCGCACTGTGGCATCTTATCGACGTGGAACTCGATGCCGTCGCGCCGCAGCACCATCACCTCCCCCACAAACGGCACCGGAATCCCCTGACCGTCCAGCTGAGGATTCGCCGCCATGGCTGACCCGACTGGGTTGGGCACGATACAAGGTTAAGCAAGGGTCCTCTGGATATAGGATATTGGAGAGCGAATTATTCAACTGTACTAACGGCTTCCCTTCTCCGCGGGCTGGAGTCGATGCTACGATTAGAGAATCCGCTAGCTGACTAAGAGGGCTGAAATTACAACGGAAGCTGCTGTTCGCTACACGGGGAAAGTAATAAGCTTCAGAAACGCAAACTAATCGAAAATAGGAGAACCACGGGACGCCACGTGTAGGAAAGCACGCTTATGTGTTGGTCTAAATGAAGCTGAGAAAGCTCGGAACAAAGCCGAACACTCACACGCATCAACTCGCAACAAAGCCTTTGATACACGGATCAGAGTGGACTAAGATATATCTCACCCAAGTTCCAGGGTTGGCCTATTCTGCACCCTCTGCTGCGTGTGGAGTGGGAGGGATGGGGAAACCTGGAGCCCCGAGACCATCCCCTAGGGCAGCGAAGTCACGAACTGTGGCGACGGAATGGATGCCTCGTGGATTCGCAGACCGATTCCGATGTTTCCACGAGAAAAGTGGGGTCATAGAGGTGAAGTTTCTAGAACGTTTTGGAACTTACAGCACCGCACTGAATCCGCCACGACATCTGTGACGTCAGCGGGAAAGGTCGTCGTCCGCGACCAAATTGCGAAACGACTTGGAGTAACGTAGGACAAACTGCGAAGTTATGTCAAAAACTTAGGGTGACTGATGTGGTTCTCAAATATCTTCGCCACAGACATCCTCGCTGATAATTTGGAATGTCATTCAGGTATTGCTGCTTCAATTTGCTACAGCTGATAGCTGCAGTCAATTTCGCCTTTGTCCTCTCATTTCGATGCTCCATTCCCCGACATCGCGCTGAAATCCATCACACCCGTGGGTCGTCTCGTTCGCATATCACCCATCCATGGCCGTCTGCTCACGGATCGCCGCGATTTTCGGGTCAATAACTATGAGAAAGACGACACGGTTCGGAAAAAAAACACCATAGTTCTGACTCAAGGCATAGGAGGGACAGGCACGCAAATTAGGGTTTCGGTCGAAATTAGGGTTTCCTGACTTCCGTCGAATTCCTGCCAACCTCGTCACCGGAGCAGCTCGCCAGCGCGATGGAAGCCCCGGAAACTTCCTGGAATCCACTGGAGCTTCTCCTTCTGTTGCGCTGCGTAGCGAAGTTAGGTCTTTCTGACAATCCTTCCCCCAGCACCTCCCGCGCCGTAGCTGGAAGCGCAGGAGGAGAAGCGGTGGCCGTTGAGAGTGGTACAGATGGGTTATTGAGCGGGAATAGCGACGGCTGGACGGTAGTGGCTGCGGAGATGCAGAAACGATCGGCGTTTGTCTCCCAGAGGCCCTTGGATCGCCCGCACACTGCTCGGGTGCGTCGTCCTCTCTCTCCCTCTCTCTCTCTCTCTCTCTCTCTCTCTCTCTCTCTCTCGCTCGCTCGCTCTCTCTCTCTCTCTCTCTCTCTCTCTCTCTCTCTCTCTCTCTCTCTCTCTCTCTCTCTCTCTCTCTCTCTCGCTTTCGCTCTCTATCCCTCCCTCTCTCTCTCTCTCTCTCTCTCTCTCTCTCTCTCTCTCTCTCTCTCTCTCTCTCTCTCTCTCTCTCTCTCTCTCATTTCCCCATTCTGGCCTACGAGTTGCGCTGCCCTGCTCGTGCTCCTGCTGGCGGTAATTTCCCCGCCTTCCCGTTGGCGTTTCCAAACAACCTCTTTCCTTTCCGTTCCCCTGCATCTGCCTCTCTCCTTCGCCCTGAAACGAGCAGGAGTGCTTGCAGGTGTATGCCAGCGTTGCCAGAGGCCTTCCAGAGGCGGCCAAGAGGGGTCAAGCGGCTGATTCAATGACAGGGTTGGAGCCTGCGCCTGTGCCTGCGCCTTGCCTCGCTGCTGCTACTGCGCCGCATGTCAGAGCACATACGAGTGCGCACGGCGAAGGCCCAGCCAAGAGAGTAAAGGGCTGTGACACAAGCGACGGGCGTGCAGGGCGCGAGGGAGATGCAGAAGCAGGATTGGTAGGGAGCGACGGGGCCAGGACAGAGGAAGATGGAAGAGGAAGGGGAGAGAGGGCACAGGGAGGACAGGGCCAAGGACAGGGAGAGGGCGAGGGCCAGGCAAGAGGGGCAGGCACACGTGATGCGGATGGAAGGGCGGTGGTGGTGGGGGTGGAAGGGCGGGTGAAGACAGTGCTTGTAAAGAGACTAAGGAGGTGGGCGGAGGGCAGGGAGAACAAGAGGCGGAGGGTAGGTGAGGAGGAGGTGGGGACGGGAGAGGGCAGGGAGGAAAGGCAGCAGCAGGAGCAGCAGCAGTCGGGGCAGGAGCAGCGGCAAGAGCAGCAGGGCCAGGAACGGGAGCATGAAGCCGTATTACGAGAGGATCTGGGCGAGGGAGAGAGAGGGAGAGAGCGGGGCGTGCAGGAGGGTGGTCACAGAGAGGCGTGGGCCAGGGGGGGCTTTCGGGTTTCGGGCAGTGGGCTTGTAGGGGAAGCAGGCAGTGGGGGGATTAGGGAGAGGAGGGGGGGTTGGGCGGAGAGAGGAGCTGCTGACGAGAAGGTGAAGGGGGTGGGAAGAGCGGAGAAGGAGGGGAGAGAGAATGTGGCGTTGGAGAGTGGGAGGAGGAGCAGCGAAGAGGAGGCGGAGATACGGGGTGGTGGTGGGGAGTCTGCAGTAGCAGATGGAGGGAGGGGTCCGGAGGAAGACGTGTTAGGGGATCGAGAGGAGGGTGACGCAGAGAGGAGGATTTTGAGGGAAAGAGAGAGGGAAGCAACTGGGGAAGGGGCTGGCAGGTGGAGAGGGGAGAGGGGGATGAGAGAGGAAGGGAGGAGGGGAGGGCCAGCAGGCAGGGAAGGGGAGAGTGACAGAGAGGGAGACAGAGGAGGAGTTCTTAGGGGGGCGATGGAGGGTGGGGATCCAACAAGGAGTGACGCGGCTGCGAGCAGTTGGCAGGGAAAAGGGGGAGGAGAAGGTGGGGAAGGAGGAGGCAAGGGGGAAAGAGGAGGAGAGAGTAAAGGACGTCGTTTGAACGGAATGGGTGAAAGCGGACGAAAACTTAGGGTAGGCCATGAGCATACAGGTTCCCAGGACATTTCGAGGGGTGAAGCTGGGGAGGCATGTGGCAGGGATGGTATTGGAGGAGCTGCGGAAGGGGACGGGACAGAGGGGCAGCGAGACGAGGGCAGCAGAGGGGTGGAGAGGGCGGCAGGTGGCAGTGAGCGCGAGGGAGATAAGAGGGGTGTTGATGTGGAGAGGTGTAAAGCGGAGGATGGGCTTGGAGATGTGGAGGTGGGTGGGAGGGGTGTGAGAGAGGGGGGCCCGTGGGATGTAGCAGTGGGAGAAGGGCGGAATGACAGAGAAGGAAGTGAAGGAAGAGAGGCAGGTGCAGGTGCGGGAGACGAGGAGACAAAGGGGTGGGGAAGGAAGGAGACAGCGATGGAATGTAGAGAGAGTGAAGGAGAGATGCTGGCAGCGAGCGGAGAGGCGATGAGGCCTATGGCGGCATGCAACGGGGATGCGCCGAGAGGGATAGGAGATGCAGATGATTTTGGCCCTGCGGAAGGGGAGGAGTTAAAGACGAGTGATGTGACGAAGATTGACGGTAAGGAAGGAGTAGTGGCTGGTAGAGGTGAGGAGGAGAGGGGTGCCGTGTGGGGGGAGGGTGTGAACATGGTGGGTGATAAGCTCGGTGTGGCTGGATCGAAGGACAGGAGGACGGGGGAAGCAGCAGAGATAGACGCAGATGGAGCATACACGAGGAGGGAAGACACGGGAAGGGAGGAGGATGCGGGGAAGAGAGAGGAAAGTGGGGGTGAGAGGAGAGTTACAAGTGAAGTTTGGAAGGAGGTGCAGGAAGGAGGAGGGGGTTGGGGGGATATGGAAAGGGTTGGAGAAGCAGAAGGGGAGGTGCAATCACTGCAAGCAGTGCCAGCAGCAGCAGGGCATGCGGGGGCTCTTCCCCTAACGCCACTGAGTAAAGCAAGAGGGGCGGTGGGGAGGGTTCAGTACCGAAGGCGGAAGGGAGGGGGGGGTTTCACACCTCTCAAGAAGGGCGCTGGCGTGGCTCTGGGTGAGCCGGGGGACGTTGCTTGCGTGTTGCGTGCGGGGTCTGATGCCCACTCTCGTTTCACTGCTCCAGAAGCAGCTGTAACAGCAGTGACAGCAGTAACAGCAGTAGGCGGAGCTGAAGGTACCTCTGCTTGTGGCCCGTCTCCTCCTCGCATGCTTCTCCGTCGCTGTGTGACAGAAGGCCAGGAGGGGGCAGGTAGGCTGGAAGGGCCGGGTGAAGGGGCAGGGCGTGGCGGGGAAGAGGAGGTAGAGGAGCAGCAGCAGGAGTCAGAAGAGAGGACGCATGGGGAGGGTAATTTACGGATGGAAGAGGAGAAGGAGAGGGAGCAGGAGGAGGAAAAGGAAGAGGAAGAGGGAGAGGATGTGACGCGAGGAGGTGAGGGAGGAGAAGCGGAGGCGTGTGTAGGGATTCTGCAGGAGGCATGGGGGGAGAGAGCAGAGTGTGGTGGGTGGGAGGGCGGGGTGGGGGCGGTGGTGGGGAGGGCAGTGGGAGCAACAAGTGTGAGGCAGGGTGCAAGCGGGCAGTCTAGCCCTCACAAGAGAGTCAGACGCCCAGCCTCCTCAGCAGAAACGTCTCCGACTGGTACTTCTGATGCTGCTGCTGCTGCTGCTGCTGCCAATGCTGCTGCAGCTACCGCTGGTGCTACTGCTGCTTCTCCTGGTGCTGCACGTGCTGGTGTTGGGACGGCTGCTGGGGAAGAGGGCACAGCAGCACCTGTTGCTGCGGTGATCTCGAACAGGAAGGGGACCAGCAAGAGCACCAGCCAAAGGGCGTCTTCGCCTGAAGCTGTGCCTACCGCTGCTGCCGCTGCTGATCCCTTCACTGCTGCGGTAGTTCTAGAGGGCAATGGCTTGAGTCTGATGGATGGAGGTGGGCGGGTGGACGGCACACCTCTGCATGCGCTTGCAGGGGGAGATGACACGAAGCAGGGGAAGGGAAGTGGTGGTGTGGGTGCAAGTGACGGTCATCTGTCGGAGGAGCAGCGCACGGTGGTGCAGGCGTGGCGTGGCATGTGCGCGCATCCCCTCGCTGCCACCTTCTCATGCCCACCGCACTCCAAAGTAATTCCCTCCCTCTTTCCTTCTCCTTCTTCCCTCTCCTTTTCCCCTCTCTCCTTCTTCCTTTCCCCTCTCTCCTTCCTTTCCCCTCTCTCCTTCTTCCTTTCCCCTCTCTCCTTCTTCCTTTCCCCTCTCTCCTTCTTCCTTTCCCCTCTCTCCTTCTTCCTTTCCCCTCTCTCCTTCTTCCTTTCCCCTCTCTCCTTCTTCCTTTCCCCTCTCTCCTTCTTCCTTTCCCCCTCTCCTTCTTCCTTTCCCCTCTCTCCTTCTTCCTTTCCCCTCTCTCCTTCTTCCTTTCCCCTCTCTCCTTCTTCCTTTCCCCAGTCTCCTTCTTCCTTTCCCCTCTCTCCTTCTTCCTTTCCCCTCTCTCCTTCTTCCTTTCCCCTCTCTCCTTCTTCCTTTCCGCCTCTCTCCTTCCCTCTTTCCCCTCTTTCCTTCCCCCGTCTCCCTCGTTGTTTCCGTGCCTGGAACAACGATTCCTCTCATCCTCCTCTCTCCCTTCCTCCTGTGCTTCCGAAATCACACTCTTTTCCTTGTTTCTCATTCCACCCTTTATTAACTCTTCCCTGCCATCCTCCTCTGTCTCCCTCATCTCCTCCAAACCCTTTCTCCTCCAGGAGCACCCTGACTACTCCTCCATAGTGCGGCAGCACATAGACCTGAGCATGATCGGCAGGCGGGCTTTAAGTGGCACGTACGCGTCGCGGCACACCTTCTTCCGGGACGTGGTGCAGCTTCTGGCCAACGCCTTCGTCGCCTTCCCGCACGACTCACACCACTTCACCGCCGCGCTCTCCTTCCGCTCCCACCTCTGCCAGGTGCCCAGCTCTCACAATGAAGCACGTTTGCTGCCACGCTGCTGCTGATTTTGATGCTGCTGCTGCTGCTGCTTGTGCCACGCTGTCCTTCTGCCTTTTCTCGTTATTCTCAGTGTGTGCATCTGTGTCTTGCTCTCTCCCTCTCTCCCTCCCTCATAAACATGCACACACACGAACCTACACACACGTGCACACACTCTCACTCACACCCCTCCTCCAACCCTCCATCCGTCCACCACCAGGAAATGTCTGCCGCCTTTCCCCAGGACTCGTGGCCCCTGCCCCTATCCGACCGCGGGGCAGCAGGCATGCGTCCCTCCTGCAGCCACAGCAGCCGCGAAAGCTTCCCCTCAGGGCCGCACACAGGCGCAGGGGGCGTGGGGAGGGGCGTGCGGCGGCGCAGAAGGGAGGGGGCTGAAGGGGAAGTGGATTGGGGGGAGGTGGATGAAGTGGAGGAGGGGGTGGAGGAGGGGGAGAATGAGGAGAAGGGGGGGGGAGGGGTACGAGCAGGGGAGGGGGGAGCGGTAGCGGAAGAGGTGGAAGGAGGAGAGGGCGGGGTTAAGGGTGCTGGGGGTGTGGTTGAGGAAGGGGAGGAGGAGGGAGAGGGGAAAGTGGAGGGAGGCAGTGATCACCAAAGAGAGATGGGCATAGGGGATAAGGCGGAGAGGGAGGCAGAAGGAGAGGGGAAAGCAGGTTCGGAAGAGAGGGAAGGAAAGGAGGCGGTTGGAAGGGGGGAACGAGGAGGGCCAGGGGGACGAAGAGGGGGAGTGGTGAGGAGAATAGAGGTGATCGAGGGGGAATGCGTGGAAGATAATGGCACAGGGAATGCAGGCAGGAGGGCTACTATGGACGCGGAAGAAGCGACAGTGCTGAGAGCGGGGGAAGGGACAGCAGAGGACAGAGGAAGTGAGGGAGAGGGACAGGAGGCAGAAGAGGGGGAGAGGGAGGGCAGGCTGTCGGGGTGTAGATCGGGGCGGGGCAAGGCGAGCAGCAGTGGGAGAACCACGGGGGGAGCGTCGGCACGGGCGGGGTCAACCGCAGGCGAGACGGAGAGCGGTGCAGGGGGCAGTGGGAGGGAGAGGAGTGCACACAGCGAGGCAGAGGAGGCGACCGCAGCAGAGGGGGGAGCAGCTGCGCAGATTAGTCCCACCAGCCCCACCAGCCCTACAAGCCCTTCCGACCCTACCAACCCTACGAGCCCTACGAGCCATGGTGGCAGTGCGGGGGGCATGGTGACTAGGCAGAGGAGGCGATTGCAGGAGGATGGGGCAGCGGAGAGCAAGCAGAGGCGGCCGAGGGACAGCAGGGGGAAGGGAATGGGGCGATGAGAGATGTAGGGGAGGGACGAGATGGGGTCGATTGGTGTTAGGTATGCAGGTGATGGATGATTGATGTGGAAGCGATGGCAGCACGGGTGGGTGGGGATTGTAGTCCAGAGCAAGGAGGGTCAGGGTAGTGTTGCTGAGCCGAGGTCAGGCAAGGAGAGGCAAGGAGAGGCAAGGAGAGGCAAGGAGAGGCAAGGAGAGGAGAGGCGAGGAGAGGCGAAGAGAGGCGAGGAGAGCCTGCCTGAGAATGGTGTGATACCATGTTGTGCCGGAGATGTCAGCTACAGTACCGTTAGGTACTTGATCTCCCATCACTACGTGCATGTGCACCAGCATCTAATAGCACCAGGCAGCTTCCCAATGGTGAGTTGCACTTTCTTTTAGGCTCATGAATCATGATACTAAATCAAAAGGATGCAGCTGTGGCTAATGAAACCGCCACTAGCTTCATATACGCTACAAACACACAACTCATCAGACCCATTATTGTAACCAAAACAGTGCCTGGTTAGAGTTGTCCCGTTCGGTTCGGTCAGTTGCTATCGGG